AAGCGCTGCAGGATTGGGATATGTCGTGCTATACCCCAACCTGGGTTCCATGCTAATGGCAGGTAGGTGTCTATATCCAGTTATAGCGGTATGGCCTTAAAGTAGCGGCATGTTTTGTTAATGATGTAGGCAATATAAACATAAAAAATATAAACCGGCTTCATTTCACATTCCTAAAGTTAAACAAAGATAATACTTTGGAGGTTAACTAGACATAGGCGTTGAGCAGCAAGCTCACTACTTAGACAGGCTTGGTCTGCCATGGTGTTAGAGCATCGTTTAAGTGTTAGCTTTACCCAGAGACTATTCACAATGCCACGTCAGCGCAGTAAGGCGGAAAATAAGCTCAGCTTTGGCACTTTCATGGCATAAACTTGGCTGCACGTTTGTCGTGCTGGCATTATCCAGCTTAAGTTACTAAACATGCATTGGCTCCAGCCTTATCAATAACAGTTGCATGTCTTACATGTGAGAGAAATGCTAAAGTAAAACCAGCCTAACAAACATGTCAAAGAATATGGGTGTTACATGTGTAATAGATTATTCAGACACTTTATGTCAATGGTGAGTGTTCAGGACTCTTGTCATGCTGTGTTGGTAGGTAAGTATGGCGAGGGGTAAGGGTGGCATTAGGCAGAGTCTCGCATGTGTGGATCACCCTACCCCCACTCTCACCACATTAGTCCCACTGCAGGACCGAGGTCCAGAGGTTCTCCTCCCGGCAAGCTGTAGATGGGCTCTTTGCCGGTTTGGTCCGCCGGTCGGCAACCCTGTTGTGTTATGAGCGATGGCTCATTGGGATTTGTGTGTCCCCTTGTGCGGATTTATGCCTTGCCGTTTGGCTGTTGCTGGGACCGCTGAGTGGTAGGCAGGTCGTGTGCACCGGCGGGTTCTGCTCCGAAGCCTGGGAGCGTGATTGGTGCTGTCTGGGGAGCATGGCGACGCTTCCCGCCCCGCTGTTCTGCGGTTCCGTTGCCAGCGGGAGGCTGCTCTATATTCGCGAGGAAGATTCCCCCGCAGGAAGCGCCGGGTAGCCGGGCGGATCCACGCCTCCATCTCTCTCACGGCTCGCCTGAAGAGCTGTCTCCGGGCATTAAGCTTCTTCCAGAGGTAACTGCAGAGCCGTTTGTAAAATTCCGGAGTGTGCTTGGGTGGTGCAGTGAGTGTGTGCCTTGTCTTTGTCTGCTTCTGTGCTGCCATCTTGTCTAGGCCCTGACGGTCCTGGGTGCATGAGAGTTTTGTCGCTTGGGCTGTCAGCGATGTGGGGGTATTCGTCCCCAGCGAGGACCGGGATGTCCCCCGCCGGTCCAGAGGGGGGGGGCAGCAGGGCTGTTGTGTGCTCTCATTTGTGAGCGCGTCCCGAGCCGGGGAATCGGCTGCCTCCCCCAGACCTCAGTTCCCGCTCTGGTGTAGGCCGCATGGCCGGTGTTGGTTTTTCCGCGGCGCTCCGGTGCTGGGCCGGTATAGTTTTGTAGCTCATGTCTTCCTGTGTTTGGTGCCGGTCACCGTTTGCTGCTAGCACTTTTGGATCACTCATTATGGTCATTCTTTTACCCGCTGCTGCAGGAGCTCTCAGCATGTGCGGCCGGCCATCTTGGCTGTCAGGCCCCGCCCCCCGGAATCTTAAAACTTTTAATGATAGGTGCATAGCTACTCATTGTTTAGTAGCCACTAAAATTATTATTGCTAGAAATTGGAAATCCTCATTTCCTTTTCAAAAAATTCACTTGATTCAACAAGTTAAATTCCAACTGACTATGGAAAAAGAGCTTCTAATAAACATGACAATATTATCCCCCAAAAAAGATATTGTACAAAATATGGTTGGAAATTTTTTAATATATGGTTAACCCGATTTTAGATATAGTACTGCTCAATCCAAAAATATTTTTCAGAAGATTTAACTCCTACTCTGACTGTGTGAATGTCTGTAGGTATGATCTAATGGTATGTTTTAAGATGCTTCTTCCAATTTGTATGACTTTTAGAATGTTAATTGTCAAAAAAAATTAAGAACTACTTTGTTGGAAATATCTTACTTAAAGACTACATGTTTAGATTCCTGTCTTTTATATGTTTTGTAATACAACATTTTATATTTGAATAAAGAATTATTATAAAAAACAAACAAAAAACTTCTACCAATCCATCTGTCACTATGGCATATACATGCCATCAAGTGGAAGGACATATATTACTTTGCAACCCGACTAATGTTTGTTTTCAGGAGCAGCTCAAAACAGTTCGACATCTTTGCAGAAACTCTCTGCTGGCTGCTCCTGAATGTTGTTAGGTGTCCAACAGTAATACATTACTTGCATGATTTTTTGTTGGTTAAAGCAGGCTCTCAAACACCATTTAGCATCCCTAGCACCACAGGTCTCTTCGCAACACTAGGTGTCCCTCTGTCCCCTGACAAAACTCTAGGCCCTATGACAAAATTGTTTTTTAGACACAGTGTCCTTTCAAGCAAGTCTCCCCAACGAGAAATTGGTTTGCATCAGGGAAGAATTAGATCTATTCCTTTGAAATAGTTCATGTACGCGGAAGGATCTCCAGTCTTTACAGGGATCCCTTAATTTCGCTATGCGGATTATTCCGCAGGTTACTGTGCCTCTTACCTGGCGTGCCCGACAACAGCACTATAACTAAGGCCGGTTTTGCTCATGTGATAGTAATCATGGACAGACAGAATTGTTGAGTGACACCCAATCACTATCCCGCAACGCTCTTATGACAGGGCATTAACCATATTCTAAACATTTGTGTCAGAATTCCACATATGGGAAAATTATTCCATCATTAATTATTCATTCCTTAAATTAGCACACAACACCATTAAATTATACCTTACAGGCATACAACATCACATTCTCACCACTTTTCCCAATCACCCTCCTTTTCTTTCCTCATACTACATCAAAATTATCCTAAAAAGAATTAATAAAACAGTCCGCCCTCCTACAACCACTAGACTACCTACAGACGGTCCTATATTCAGGAACCTATGCAACATTTTGGACTCTAACCCCTTTGATATACAGACTAATTCAGTCATAAAGGTAGCAATTTACATTACTTCCTTAGACCTAGAGAATTCACCGTAGTACGCCAATCCGAAATCTATGCAAGTCTGAAAATATCCAACCTGGTTAAACACAATGACTACCACATTCTCATTAAAAATCTCAAAAACTAACCAGACTAGCCATCCTTCCACAAACCCTTTTTTTCGTTTTAGAAGTATGCACTAAAGTGTGTTTTTCAACCAACTCTACGTTGGTTTCAGCACAACACCACCAACTTACACCACCTACAACATTACATATACCACAACTAGAAGGCCATAGGCCTGAATTTGTGGGAGGAGTTTTCCCTATATAAATGCAAGTCTCCTACTCACCTATGCCATTTCCGCTGTTTGATCCCACCCACCACACCCTCAACTACCTAACTATTACATTACCCTTGATAGGCCCTCTTTTATTACAGGCTTACTCATATGTTGGTTTTGGCACAACACCACTGTGACGAAACCGACCTCGCCACTTGGCATTGGAGAAGACTGATTGCCCGCCTCCTGCCATGTGACTATGGCCCCTGGGATGTATTGCCTTTTAAAGACATGATTTGGGCATAATGGATTTGTGTTTTGCTGCTGCTGGCCCTTTAAGAACTATCTGGGGACATACTGTGGAGTTACTGGGTGGCCACCATTTCATGTATCAGAGGCACATGGTGAGAACAATGGATGAAGCACATGGTGAGAACAATGGATGGCGGCCATTTTAACTCACAGACACTGTGTGGACTTTTCTACACAGTGCCATCTCGCCGGTATTTGGTGCACAGAGACATCGTGCAGTGGTTTTGGACTAGACAACAGGGGACACATTATACAGTAATTGTTTTTCATATAGCCTGTATATGTTCTGCGGAATCTGCATTAAACTGTATCTTCCAAACTACTGAACGGATCTGGGTGAATTTTGGATATGTGGTTCACTCAGATCCCCCGGTTCCGAGGATATTTTTATGGGGTTATTGCATGTTCTGGGGTCCCTGTGATGTGTTTTATGATACTGTATTTCTCTGCCTGTCATAATTATATTAACCATTGTGTTCAATAATCATATCACAGGCAGAGGGGAGGATTTTGTGTGGGAGTGTCTGTGTGTATTGTAAGGATTGATTGGTTGTATTTCAAAACCCTGTGGGCAGTAGTATGTTTGTGGATTGTGAATAAAAGAGGCTGTATGTGCCAGTACAGTCAGTTCTGCTTGACCTCAAAATGAAGGTTCGTCTCGTTATTGGGGGAATTGGATTGTATGCTAATTGCCAGGAGTGTAAGCTGATTGTATGCTTTTCCTGTTTAGCTGCTTACAGCATTCATATGCTTGAGAGCATTCATATGCTTCTCCGGTTCGGTGGTTGTGGTGTCTGCTGCAGTGCTTGGAGTCCTCGGTAAGCGCTAGGAGCATCCTTCAACGGAGGTACCCAGTCGGGGTGCCAGGTGATCCGTTACAACCACCAATTTACACCACTTACAATATGATATATACCATTAAGTTCGGACCACAAATAGATATGTGTGTATATATATATATATAAATATATATATATACAGTATGTATATATATTTATGTTTTATTAATGTTGCACCAGTTTATCTGGTGAGAGGTTGTCTATGGATAAGCCTCCTCTGCACACAGCTGGGAATAGGTAATAAAACGTTGAACGTTAGCATTAATAGAATAATGGACAAAAAGGAGCTATGGTGCTGTTTTACAAATAAAGCAAACATTACATTACAGAGGTATAGAAGAATAACAATTAAGAAGAGTAAAAGATTGTGTGAAATAAAAGCATACCAGAAGGTGTAGGCACAACAAAAATACTTAGATGTAGGAGTTAAATAAGAAACAAGATTTAACTCCAGTTGGAAACATTTACTAAATGGTGCCACGAATGGCTAAAGCACGGCTGTCCAACCTGCGGCCCCCCAGATGTTGCTGAACTACAAATCCCATGATTCTTTCAATGAAACAAATAGCCAGGGAATCATGGGAGTTGTAGTTCAGCAACATCTGGGGGGCCACAGGTTGGACAGCCCTGGGTTAAAGCATCAGTTAATAGCATTTTTGGCAGAACTTTGCTGTAATGTCAATTTCATACACGTACAGCTGTAGTAAAACCAGCAGCATGTGTCTGGGCTATAATCAGAAGATGGAGATATTGAGTGGCTTTATAGTGTTATTTATTCACTTATTTGAATACAGAGCAGGTGGTTATGCTCTAAGGGGATACTGATGAGATATAGATAGGCAGCAAAACAATCTGATCCGGGGTCTCTTTTATCTGGTAAATATATAAATATGTTCAAGAAGGAGGTAGGAGGAGCACCTTTAGATGTCCTGTAAATTTGGTGATATGACATGATAAGAATAGGATGATTGTAGAAATTGGAGGGTCTGCAGGTGAAGGGGGGTGAGAAATGGAGGTTCTGCAGGGGAAGGGGGGTATAAATGGAGGGTCTGCAGGGGAAGTGTGGAAGGAGAAATGGAGGGTCTGCAGGTGAAGGGGGAGAAATGGAGGGTCTGCAGGTGAAAGGGGGGAGAAATGGAGGTTCTGCAGGGGAAGTGGGGTATAAATGGAGGGTCTGCAGGTGAAGGGGGAGAAATGGAGGGTCTGCAGGTGAAAGGGGGGAGAAATGGAGGTTCTGCAGGGGAAGTGGGGGAGAAATGGAGTGTCTGCAGGGAAAGGGTGGGGGAGAGTGAAATTGAGAAACTGCAGAGAATGGGAGGATGGAGGGAAATGGAGTAGCTGCAGGGGAAGGGAGGGGGAGAAAGAAATGGAGGGGCTGTGGGGGGGGTGATCTGCGGTCGAGCGAGCTGGATGTGTCCGAGTGAAACTCCGCTAGGACCACAGAGCCAACTGCTAACGAAAGCGGGGAAACATAACTCAAACGGTGCCTACATACGGGGGAACCCTGATGGATAAGCGGGCCCCGAGGAAACAAGCTAAAAAGCAGCCGGAACAGGGAGCTACGGTGACGGAGATGTTTGCGTCCTCCCGCGCCATGCGGCTGAGCACCCAAGGTGGCGGACAGGACAGCCCGGGGCGCAACGTTCACCTTCCAGCCCGGGGAGCTGCACTACTCCTGGTTCTCCTGCGATGGACCCAAAACAAATATTTGCTAAGCTGACTGAGGTGCGTACTTACCTGGCCACGGAGATCGCCAGGAACACTGATGAGGTAAAGGCGGAAATTCAGGCCTTGGGCAGGAGGATGGCTATACTGGAGCAGCATGTGGAGTCCACGGGGCCCACAATGAAGCTGCCGCACAGATCAACCACTTGACGTTCCGACCAGCGACAGCTGAATCTGCGATCGATGACCTTGGAAACAGATCCAGGCAAAACAATGTACATTTATGCAGCCTCCCAGAACAGGAGGGGGAAGGATCTTTAACTGAAGTAGTTACAAACATCTTTAGGCTGCTTCTCCCCGACCATCTCTGGCATATTGAACGGGCCCATCGGGCGCTCCGGGCCAAACAGGCTGATGACAGAAGGCTGCGGGATGTAATTATTAAATTCCTGTCTTTCCAGACAAAGGGGGCCCTGATGAGGCACGGCAGGGACGGCTCGATAACATATAAAGGAGTAGAACTGGCTCTGTACCAGGACTTAACTCCGGCTACATTGCAGAGGCGACGTGAGTGGCGCCCTTTCACTGAGCTACTCCAGCAGCAAGCCATTAAATATGCTTGTGGCCACCCTTTTCGGCTAATGGCCTTTAAAGACGGGCACACCAAGGTCTTACACTGAGATGGCGATCCGGTGACTTTCCTTAGGGAGCTGGGGACGCCTACATGGCGGGTGAGCGAAGACGTCGGCTCCTATATGGCTCCCATTGTGCTGTTGACGGTAGACCCGGGCGGTGAGGTTCCCCGGGTGGGCCTTCTGTCTCTCTTTGGGCAGGAGGATCTGCGGCTTTGTCTCGCTTAAGGCGTATTTTCTATCATTCAGTTTTTGGCCCTGGATCATGGGTTCAATTGTCGGGCTGCCCCTATATTAAGGCCGGTCCGCGGGTGGGGATGTCTTGTGTATGGGGTGGGTTAGGGTTTTTTTTTCTTTCAATTTTATGAGTACATCTATTTTGGGGATCTGTTGGGGGTCGGAGGTGGGGGTCGGGCAGTGTGCCTGTGGATGGCAATCTACCATCTAGGTATTCCAACAGTTATGTTTGTTGGCCCCACGGGATCACGGCCGACTATGGAGGGAAGATTACTTTAAAACTTTATGCTTAAATGCTACTTCGGGCTATGAGGGGCGGCGGGCGGAGGCAACTATGGCCTTTATAGCCTTTCAAGCTATTTTGTAAATTTTGTAAAATGTGCGTCGTTGCTTGATGTCGGCTGTCCCCTTGCTCCCACCCCGGGTGTGGGTCCCTTCTCCCCCCTCACACGTTATTCCTTAGCTCTTCTCCTTCACTGCCCTACAGAGTAGCTGTGGTTATCCCCATCGGTAGCTCGGGAATAATGTCCTCTTTCTGGGCAATAGTGGCATGGGGATTCCTCTCCATTTCTCTCTCCATTTTGGGCCTTATCGCTTGGGGCAGTGAGTAGACCACGTGAAGATTATCCCCATCTGTGATGAGACCAATCTCGCCACTGTGCATTGGAGGAGCCTGGTTGCCTGCCTGCTACCATTTGACTATGGACCGGCATTTAAATACTTTATTTTTCTATGCAGAAAGGTCTATTCATGTATTTCTGCCCTGGCGCTTCTGCATCACAGGTGCCCGATCAGGGTAGGAACAGTAAAAGCGGACCCGGGGGGACGCTTTGTGCTTTTATCAGGTAGTTTATATTCACACTCAATACATATTATTAATCTCTATGCTCCAAATGACCCCTCTATAGATTTTTGGAACGAGATGGCTCAAATGGTGCATACTCTGCCACACGGCATGGTGATAGTGCGAGGAGATTTCAATGCTACACCATGTCCTGCTGTGGATAGGGATCCAAGCGGTGGACTCCCATGGTCACAAAGAAAAGGTGGGCAAGACAAATTTCTACACACCTTCATACAACGTACTGGCATCATAGATGTTTGGAGAGCCCACCATCCAAACGACCGCGATTATACTTTGTATTCGGCACCTCATAACACTTATTCGAGAATTTACTTATTCTTGGTGAACCCCCATACGCTGCCCAAAGTGTCGGACTCTACAGTGGGATCTATTACGTGGTTGTGCCACGCTGAGGTCATGCTGATGCTGGATAAACTGGCCTTCTAAATATTTTTTATTGAACAAGTTTTTGAGAGTGGGACTAAGCTGTTTTTTTAGGGATTTATACTATTCTCAGGTAAAGCCCTGTTTTAAGGGTCTTATAACCAAAAAAAAAAAAAAAATATGTATTGCAAAAGATCAATTCATGTTTTATACTGTCCCAGAATATATGTTTGTATTTCTGAAAAAAACAGGTAGAGATTATTTGCAAATCCTATTATTTCATAATCTGTCACAATAAATCCAAGAACAGCAGCAAGTACTGAGGAAGTAAATAGAGTGAAAAAACATTTGAAGTTTTGCAGTGGCCTTCATCTGTCTTCTAATTAAGCAATAAAAGCTATTTTTTCATCTGATGTTAAAATTGGATAAAAGCCACTGTAATACCGACTACAGATTTATTGTGCATCATATACAAAATAAGTGACAAAAGAACTCTTTTACATGTGCAATGAGGAAGTAAAAAGGGTGAAATATTAAAAGAAGCACTTTAGTAGCCATCATATGATATCCAATTAAGCAATAAAACAACATTCACAAGTGATACCTCAATTTCAATAAACACTCATCTACCATAAAACAACACACTCGCTCACTCACACACCTGAATTCCCATGAACTAGGAGAACAACTGACTTATCAGAAAATTAGTTCTGGTAGGCACTCAACAATTGACTGTAAAAAGAGCTGGCTGACATTTATATTTATATATAATGTTTTCATAATACACATCATCGCGCAAAGAAGAAAAACATCCAGAGAACAAGGGACAAATATATAAGAGAGTTGGGACCAAAACAATATAGGGGACAGATTTTTACCAAAAAAACACAATACAGTGGGACCTTGGTTTACGAAATTAATTTGTTCTCCGGGACGTTTTTATTGCGAATAATTTGTAAATCGAAACACGGTTTCCCATAGGAATGCATTGAAAACCAATTAATCCGTTCTGGAGGTCAGAAAAAAGTCAAAATGAGCTGGCATGGAAACCAACGCACAATGCAAAACACACAATAAAAGGCATGCAAACGACGAAGCTCAGCTCCCTACCTTTCCACCACTTGAAAAATGCAGAAAAAAGTCCCAAAACAACTGCAAACAATTTCCAGAATGGATCCAAAACTCGATGCAAAAGCCACTCCAACACCTCCACACTCGATGCCATGTGCCACCCACAGGCTCCAGCATGCAGGGGGCGGTGCTATAAACCTCCCAGGTGCAATGCATCCTGGGGAAACTTGCTTTGTATTGCGAAAAAAAATTGTAAACCGAGGCATTATTTTCAATGGATTTTCATGTGTAAACCGAAACTTATGTTAACCGAGGCATTTGTAAATCGAGGTCCCACTGTATTTGTTTTACCGGGAAAGAATATATTGAAGGGAAATTGTCACTTCCCTATTTCCTCTGGACAAATAGGCCCTACACACAATTGGACTATTAGATTCTCGATGCAAAGCAAGTTAGTACTCTCTCACTAAATTTCTAACCCTCATTGTAAAAGGGATTGCTAAATTATACTCTAAAAAGACCCTAACAGGTAAACTACAAATAGGTATTTAAAATTCCCTTATAAATCAAAGAAACATCATAAAAGCAAAAAACTAAACAACCAATGTGCGTTTCAGCGCTATAGTAATGCGCCTTCATCTGGGCTTTATCCCCCTTAAATAAGGTAAAAACTTACCGTTATTTCAGTGCCACACAGGTCTGCTGGTGCTGGCCCTGACTCTAGGCCCCCTTGAGATCATCAGAATTGACAATTTCAGCTAATCCAATGCTTTCC